AACAGTCGAAGTGCGTTGGTGACAAAATAGATTTTGTAAAGGCCGAACCATGGATTACTACTTACCTGCAACACACACACACACACACACACACACACACACACACACACACACACACACACACAACTTCCACATCTCAGCTCTTATCTCTCCTGAGGGATAGCCTTAATCTGTTGCTATGGATACCAACATTGGGAGGGCGATAAATCCTCGTAAAAGAAACTTTGAGGCACTTAAAATAAATCTGCATGAGAGAGAAAGTGTTTTAAGCAGAATGTCGTGCTGGTCAACTCGTTGGAATGTTGTTTGAATGTAGAAATATACTTGCTTGTTGCAGTTTGTGCTGTGAGGAGCTTCTCTGCTCTTTTAACATTTTACCGCTCACAGATTTGTGTTTTGTCCGTCAAAAAAAAAAAAAAACTACGCCATTGGGAATATTAGAGATGTACACTAAAACAGACTGTCTTCCTGTCTGTCTTCATCCTCACAAAACTTGTGTATAACAATATAATAATAGAGGGAGAAGGAGTAGAATTGCCAGAGAGAGAGGGCTTAGATGTGATGTCCTCTCTCTCCTCTCGTAGATTTTCTTCCAGTCAGTGCCGCAAGTGCAATGCATGATGGTATATATTGCTTTTCTTTATTGTTTTGACCATCAGTACACTTCTTTCCACAATGCACTCTGGGAAACATTGAGCCCACTATACAGTGTTAAAAAAGAAATCACTCAACATTCGGACAGCACTATAAAATGGTGAACTCACTATAAAGTGATTAGTGATGGATTTTGAACAAAAGGTTTTTCCTGTTACCATTACATTCTCCTGTCTGCTCCAAGACGTCACATGTTCAACAACCCATCACACTCTGCTGCTCTAAACATCATAATCTACCATTTTAAACACCAGCTTTTCTACAGTTAAAGGTCAGTACACATTTACAGTCAAGTATTACATTTGGAGGTATGAGTTTTTTGATTTCTTTTAATTAGCCTTAGAACGGGGGTCTGCGTGATTGGCCCATTGAACAGAGTGTTCCCTCTCAGTCATGATTTGATTAAAATGCCTGAAATAAGTCAGCAGCTAAGTGAGTACAAACGGTTTGTTCTGAGAACACCTTCAACTTATTAATACTTGGAGCTTTTTAAAATGTTGGCTCATTGTTTTATAGAAACAATTGGTCTACATCGGGTTTTGTCACCTTATTATATCAGTGCAATTTCTTTTCATCTACTAATGACGAATTAAGACAATTGCAATTTGATTATAATTAATCAATTTGCAATTAATGTTAAATCAATCAGTTCATTTCATTACCAGTGTTATTGCAGGTCTGCGATTAATGAAGATTAATGACAGTGTTATGTTATGTGTTATGAAACTTACAATTCCAAGAAACCAATGAAGAAGTGAAGTAACTGAATGTATACCTGCATGTCATGTCCTTATTTCTCTCCCTGTCTGTATTTCTATTATTACTATTATATTATTACAACAGTAAAAACATTAAAGAACTCATGAATATATATGAAAATATAATATTTTGCTAAAATAGCTGTACGATGTTGTTTTAAGCAAACATTCCTCAAACAGGGAGAAATGAGGAATTTTCAGCCCTTTCTAAATTATGGATCGTTTTACATTTGGTGGAAATGTACTGCAGCAGGATTATGCACGTAAGATCGACTCAAGATAAATTACAGTGCAATTGTTCATTATAATGAGGAACATGACACCCAGTGCAACAGTGTTGCTCACTGATGTGCTTTTAGTTTTTGGACAACAATAGAGCTCTGTGGCACTGAGTGCTTATCATAGCACTTAATTGAAAAATAAGGAAAAAAACACGTCAATCATCAAGTATCAGGCTCGGCCGAGGAGCTGGAGCTGAAAGAAACCGAACTGAATGTGGAAAACGTTGAAAAATACCATAAAAAAACACCAGACTTAGTCAACAGCAGCAGTATTATATGGTTTCTTGATATGAGTTGCTATTTCAATAGTTTTCTCACTTTTCCCACCATCCAGCAGTAAAGTTATAGATCCCAACAAAAACCTTCTCACACACACACGCACACACACACATTCTCCCTCTCACACCTACACATGCACTTATATATACACACTCACCAAAAACAGTTTGCGTTGTTGTTACCTAACACACCTTCTCTGTAGAATTGCTGCTTCTCTCTCTCTCTCTCTCCCACTCTCTCTCTCCCACACACACACCCACACCCTTTTTGAAGCAGCATCACTAAGGATACTGCACATTACTAATCTGACGGAGAGTTCACCGTGTTGACTGAACATCCAGGAGCCGGGTCACTTACTCCGCTGTCTTCTTTTTCATTTTTAAAAGTGACACTTTGATGAGGAAAAAGCCTCCGGAAAGGGGCTTTCACCTCTGCCGCTAATTAAAAAACTTCTGCAGAGATGTCAGAGAAGAGTGTAAAAGCAAAAATGCTTGAGTGTGATGGACAGAAAAAATAATAAGTGTGTTGGAACAGATCGAAAAGATTTCGCGGACTGCTCTCCCACTGCAGAGCCGCTCTGAGTCTGACCAGCTTCTCTGTGACGGCAGATGAGTCACCCATCTTCTCCCTCCACAGGAGCCACGCTGCTCTGTAACTGAGCAGAAGGAAAATAACACTCTGCATATCTGTGTCTTTGGGGCAAGTGCTCCTCTCTTTTCCTCTCCTCCCCATCTATCTATTCTCTCTTCTGTCTTTCTTCATGTTGTTATCCAACCAACCCCCCATGTACTCAGCCTCCCCTCTCTAGGTCACATCTGGCAGTAAGACAGCTTATGTTTGAGCTTATGGGCTGTTACATAATGTCCCACGGTTGGTCATCAATCGCAGTAGATAGAACGGCATGCTCTTGCGTGATTGTCCTTGCATCACAAAAAACAGCTGTCTGACCTCTGCCTTGAAGAAGAAAAGAGGCCTGAACAGTATCCTGCAGCTTCACCTTCCAGCATTTACCTCCTGTATCTGCACGACGCAGGATTCTGGTTGTTATGGTCTTTTCTGTCTTCAGGCGCCATCTCAATCTGTTCTCTTTCACTCTCCTCCATTCCTGCTGATGGTTACTCTCTATTTATGGATACAACTGGCCGCCTGTGCACGTCTTGTCGTTATGAACTGTGCATGGACTTTCCAGAGTTGGCCTCCTGGCTTTATCTAATCTATCTGCCCCTGCAGCCTGTGCCCATCATCTCGCTGCTGTTTTTTTTTTCTTTTTTCTTTTTGCAGCTTAGAAAATTCACATGAATTGTCAATCAATCAGCGTTTACCAGCAGGGCCCATCCCTGCGGTGTTGTTAGCATAATGGCGCCAGTTAGACCAGCGCTGGATGTTGCCGCTTTCTGGCTTTTATCACACAGACTCTGCTGGGAAGATTCAATTCAGCCTGGAATGATTGGGAATATGAACTCATTTATCAGAGAGATGTGAAAGTGGGAAGGAACGTGTAATGTGATTCTGCTCTCTTGGAAGAGCGTGAACAAGGGAAAAGATGTGGAAAGAGATGGGACAAAAGGAAGAAGTAATAAGAAATTAGGATGGAGGGAAAGAAGGAAACACATACAGATATAATTTAGCATTATTAAAGGTAACGGCAGTAAACACGCAACTGTTGGATTAGTGACAACTGATGATTTTCTTCACATTTTTCATCTTAAATAAGATAGAGGAGCGTCTGCTGCAGCAAGTCATTTCACAATCTAGAGCTGCCACCCCATGGTTAACAGAAGAAGTGCACTGAGTCTCTATTCAGGAGTACTGTGTTCAATTTGCATGTTTTTTTATGGTTTCTTTTGTTTGTCTGTTTGTTTGTTTGCGGCTGTGGCTCAGAAAGAATACACATTGCCCCATAAACTACTGGGTGGATTACCATAATGATGATGCAAGGATGTGTTCTGGGTCAGGGAAGAAGACGTCCAGATCAGTGTTACTTTAACACTGCAAGTGTTTTTCAACATTTTCATTGATTTTTCAGAGACTGTTTGGGGGACTGAGTGTGCGTGATTTGGTGCAGATCCAAAATAAAATGCTAGATCTGCAGTTTCATTAGGGAACTGTTGCCAGTCTTTCAGTCTGTGGCTGTTTTCATCAATGAGTAAAGAGTGTATTAATTAATGCTTTTATTTATTGTCCAAATAGTTTTCTGACATTTTCTCATTGCAGTGCCTTTTTTTTATAAGGATCTGTATTTGTCTTAAACCTTTACTTCGAATGTTCAAGCATTACTTCTCCTGCTCCTTGTCCAAACTGTCCTGACTGAATAGCAAAACACGCTGAACTTTCATCCTCTGATAACTCAGCTCAAATAATTTCAGACCAAAAGACAAATCTTTTTTTATGTCGATGATGTTTTGGCTGTGAAATGAAACGTTGTCATTTCCTGAGCTCCGGGTTCCTCTGCCCCCTGATAGTAATAATAATGAGACACCAGGTGGCAGATCCGCAGCCACTTGCCAGCGCTGACAGAGCGACGTGAAGTGGACTAACATTCACAAACGGCCAGTGCTGCCTATTTTGTCAAAGGACGACGAATTTGTGTTTTCCAGTCCAACAGAAGTCACACTGTGACCGGGATGAGTAACTGATTACCAATTGGGTATTGATTGCCAGATGGAGTTAAAGTGGTTATTTCACACCATTGATCAGCACCGAAGCAGAGTTTGTATTAGCCTCAGCTAACAGGAGGGGGCAGTAGAATTATTCAACCTTTAGGGATAGATGCCTCATGCACATTTAAGGGATCATAACTCTTTTCACACGGGCTTTAATTCCCTCAGACACTTCTTGGTGGATTTTTACACAAGATAAACCATGCTAATGGCCCCTGGACTGTAAGGGGCAGCTGTAGGTCAGGAGGTACAGCGGCTCGTCCACCAGCGGGTCAGTGGTTCAAAACCCCAGCTCGGGGTAATTCAAGCCAGTGGGTATAATGAGCCAGCCCCTGTATCTAGGTAACCATTAAAAAAAAAGTTCTGACATGCAAAGTGAATTCATCATGTATCAGTCTTCTATCTCAATTCAAATAGACATGTTGGTCATTGTGACGTGTTCATTTAAGTCAATGTGAGCTACAAACCTAATTAACTTAACCTTACTGTTAATCTGAGCTATGCAACAGTCAAAATGGTGGTTGTGGGGTAAAACGAGCTAGTGATGTGGGGGGGTAGATTGCCAATTGTCAGTCATCGTTCACTTCATTCATACACACACACACACATACACAAAGTCTGTGTCACTGTTACAAGTTCATGTTGATGTTTGATCACCATTATACAAGTGTTACAATGTCCATGTACATCATGCTGTACGTACACAAAAGTACATGTACACATACATTCTTTCTAACGCACAAAGATAACAGATCAATCCTTCCCTAAAATGTTCAAGTAACATTTTGAACAGTAAACAAATATATGGTTTTACATTAAGTGTCCGTTTTTGCCTTTGTTAAATTAACGGCAATAACAAATTGTTTGATTTTTAATGGTGGCACCATTTACACACACAGGGCTCAGTTTATCATCGCTATGATCATTTTCCCCCATCACCAAGTTGTGCCAAAGGTTGATGGCTCATTTTTCTGAAACCATATTAAGATAACTAATTTCCATGGGTACACAACAACCTGAGGTATATATAGTAACTGTTGTTTGAAACAAATACACTTCTGTTTTGCAGTAAAATCCTCAAATGTAAATTTAAAACATTTGACACTGGGGTCAAATTGTCACCTTCCATTTCGGCCTGAGCGAGTTCTTATCAAACATTTCATTCCATTTCAGAACAGAATGATCAGAATTCCCTCCATCTTGATCAGGCTGCTCTGTCCTGTGCTGACCTCAGATGGCCTTTGAGGACACTCACCTTAGTGGTGATGGAAATAACTCATGGATTTTGGAGGATTCATTGTCGTGACTATTACTGTCTGCACTGAATTTGAATGCATCGCACAATTCAAAGTGCTGCACTGACCAAACTGCTGGTCTGGTTGAAATCTGTGTCTTACTTGAATTTAAGGCCCCAACTGAAATGTATGGCTTCCTATATTTATTTTGGACAAACACTAGTATATAATATCTCTATCTGCAGTAACATACGCTAAATACTTTTTGCATAGTAGTCTAGCAGTGTCACATTCTCATGAAGTCAATCTGAAATGAATGAAACATAAACTTTGAGTCAGGACTCTCATGCACAGCACTGTAACATTAAACCTTATAGTGTCTCTGCATTGTGCTTATGGCTCAATCACTGAAAGAGTCAAGTCTGTGCTTTACTTAAACAGCGAATCCATTCACTCTGTAATCCTCCAGCTGAAGAGGCTTCTTCCTCATGAATGCATGCGGTAGTGAGAGTAAGAGGTTCAGGTTGCCATGGCAATCAAGCACCTTTGAAATTCCTGTGTAGACACATACAGGGGTGCACATAACCGCAGCATTAACAGAACATTCCTTGGTGGAACTCGGAAAGTTTCATACCATTCAAATGAATAGATGGTCTCCCTCTTCTGCTCCCAGCAGTGATGAGCTGATGGTACCTACTGGACCGCTGATACACAGGTACAGGAAAGACAGTGAAGCTGACAGGGACAAGGCTGGTCAACTGAGATGACCAATTCATGAGCTCCAAATTAGATATGAATCCTTTCATTACTGACTTGACTTCGTCCCCGGAGTCCTTGTGCTTTAACGTTGCAGGTCCGTCATCTGATCGTGGATTATGATTACAACTAGATTGCTTAGATATACAATGTGACTACTCATGTGTACTACCATTACTGACAGTACCTCTATCATTACACTTGTCAGTGCTGCTCCTCAGACTTGCTCTTTTAACACTTTTAACACTGATACCTCTGTAGTTATGATAAACACATTTTTTCCCACGAGTGTTGTAAAAATTGTTGTTTTTGTTGATGTGCTCCATTACACGTGACATCTGTTGTACATCTGTCCGCCCTGAGAGAGAGGGATCCCTCACCTTTGACTCCCTCTGAGTTTCTGTGTTTTTCTCCCTGTCAAAAGTTTTTTGGTGTCGTTTTTCCTCAGCCTCAGAGGATGTCGCACTTTGTTGAGCCCTATGAGCAAAATTTGGTTTGTGAATAAGGCTTGTGAATATATGCAAATTAAAATGTGATTGATTCATTAATCTGATACATTTTTGATTTTTTTCCCTCAAAAATAAATAATACCACGTTAAAGTGTCATTCTTCTCCCGCTGATCTCTCGAGAACCAGACAAAAAAAGTTATATGCACCCATGCATATGAATCAAGTTAACACGAAACACTTTAACATGCCACCTCAGGTACCAGACCTCTACTTGACCTCTACCTGGACTAAGATTATAAGCTAAAACAGTTTGCACAGTGATAAAAGACACTTAAAATACAATTCCTACATTGTGGAAATGATACATTTCCACATACAATAAAATGTCATCTTTCCAATCTCTCCAGACGTCCTCCACTCCACACTTCTTCTCTTGTTCCGTTTCCAGCTTAATCCTGAGTCTTGCTGTCTACTTCCCCACACCGGGTATCTGTTTGGCGTTGTGTTTCTGTGCAATGCCGTAGGGCACGTGGGCAGCGATGGTGCCCATCTCGGCCGCTCCCTCCACGTGAAACATCTGATCGTCGAAGTAGATGTGAGGCCTGATCTTCTCCAGCATTGGGCCCTTCGGGGCTCCCGCCAGAAACAGGGCCTCATCAATCTCCAAGCCCCACGCCCGGAGCGTCTTCAGCGCCCGAATCCCAGAGCTGGCCGCGCTGCGAGCTGTCACCAAGTAGGTCCGGATGGGGCAGTCCATGCGTTTGCCTTTGGCGTAAAACTTTTTTTGGAGCTTCCCCAGTGCTTCCAGAAAGCCCTTCAGGGGACCCTGCCAGAGAGGAACAGATTACAATGAGCACTGGTGAGATTGTGTGTTCTCTAGTGATTCAGCGTCTTGCGTTTTGTGTATTTTTATTTTAATGGGGCACAGTGTGAAGCCTGCACAGCCAATTTTATAAATGGCAGCCTGACTCCCAGTCACTTTTGAAACTATTATCACATACATTTGCATAATTTATTCATAGAATAATCAGTTAATGAAAAGGATTTTATATCACCACCATCTGCATAATCTTTTACAGGTGATTAGAGCTGCATGACAGTATAAGGCTGCAAAGAAGATTAGGGTTTAAAACTAACTTCAGAGTGAAATGCAAACTGCACTCACGCCATGATAACTTAGTCTGAGCTGGTATAATAAATCCAATGTGTCAATGCATTAGCTAATATTCAAGGGAAAAAATGTCCAGTTAAAACTACACACATGATCCAACAGCGTGTCCTCATTCTCCCTCTCGTGTTCGAAGAACTTGTCCAGCCCGTGGGCCTTGAAGATGCGCTCCGACTCATCAGAGAAGAGGACAGCGTCTCCGTCGAACGCCACCCTCAGCTGGGACTCTGATACCTCCGTCTGCTTCTCTGGCATGAACATGGTGGCTGCTGCGATGCCTTCACACAGACACACACCGAGGTAAGAATGGGTTACAAGAAACTTCACTCAACTTTGTCATCTTGTTTTACTTTCACATTGCTTACTCTACCTCGACTCATTTGGTTCACTTTAAATTAAAGCCATAGATACTTGAATACCTGCAGACATTAACTTGTATATTGAACTTGACTTTGCTTCATTTCTCTTGAATAAATAAAACAGGGCTGCCAGTGTTTTATTTAAAGTAAAATTGTTTTAATGTGTGGAAAATAATCAAATTGTCCCTATTGCAACCGTAATAACTAATGTGAATTCAACATTCGGTTTGAAGTAGTTTGCCTTCTGGTCCAGCAGAGGGTGTTCTTGATATTCTCTATCAGCTATGCTCTGTTCAGAAGAGTCCAGCTGCAGCCTCACACACCTTTTAAACTACAGCTATTCTTAATTGCAGCAGTCCTAGCAGCAAAGGAGTGTCCATGCAACACAACCATATCTCTGACTATATCTGAAGCTATCTGAAGGTATCTGGCCCTGACAAAAGAGAGACAAGCAAAGCAGCACTGATCAGATAATCATGACATTGAAGCATCAAGTATTTCTTTTACTAATGAAAGACTAAAATGTCTCTCAGTGAGTCGATACCTCTGCCAAAGCCCAGCAGTCCACCTAAATTCAATCACATTGCACAAACTTATAGAAATCAGTCCCCTTACTATGCCTGATCTTTTTTGTTATTAATATGCATAAACTCTTCCCTTGGATATCTACATCCAAAGGATAGTTTATATGTAAATGTAAAAACATTGCTTCCAAAAAGTAAAGGAAGGTAAGAACCACTCCAAACTGTAATTCTCAACCCATGTTCCATCCTCATGAACATCCGTTCTGTTGTTTTTGTGGAGCCCTGCCAAAAAAACAAACCAACCAGGGGCAAAAAGCACAACCTCTGAGTCTGTACTTTACAAGCTGGTTGGATCAGAGAATTCTACTTGCTCAGGTGCAGTGAAACCAGTCTGCCCTTTCCCTTCACATCCTTACAGTAACTGGAACAAATCAGGGGAAGGTTTCCACTGATGTCGTTACAGCTGCAGTAAAAAAAAGAAACACTTGTGGAGGCCTTCAGCGCACACAAAGTATCGACTGATGGCTTTACAACTAATTAGATAGACCTTTCAAGTAAAATATCAAGGGTACTTCACTTTGCATGTGCGTGTGTGTGTGTGCGTGCGTGTGTGTGGTATGTGGAGGTCGTTGGTGGCTGTGTGCCTCGCAGCGTCTCTGCATTAGTGACATTAAGCTTGTAAGTCACATGAAGAGTGTCCTTGAAGTCACCTTGAGAGGTTTGTGGTAACGCTGTGATTAGTCATTGGTGCAGTTTGTTTCCCCTCAGGCGTCTGCATGCACAGATTAGCAGATGTATTGTGTGTGTTGTGTTCTGCTTTTGCTAGACAGTGAAAATCTAGAACATATTGAATTCACCAAGTTAGAAACTTTGTGTTCATCCTACTTGGTTTATCTGCAGTGAAAATTGTATCTTCAATGTTATAATAAAGTGAAACTAAATTTGCTTTGTAAGTGTTCTTGTGTGTGGCTTTGAGTTTGAGTGATTTCAGAATTGGTGTTATTTATCAGAGTAGGTAGAAGAAGACATGTTTAACTCAGACCATAGATTGATCATTTGTTAATTCACGTTTTATTTATATTTAATGTATCGTATAACCAATCGCAATTGTAACATCTTCCTTATTAGACTGCAGTGTGAAATGTTGCATGACAGTGTTGTTTAGTTTGCAGCATCTGTAACTGGTTTCATCCTTTTTTGTTTACATGGTTTTTTTCAGCCTTGTCCGTCACCTTATTTCACTATGTGCTGTTCCTTTTTGACAGCAACAATAATGCAGCATGAAATGTGCTGCACTGTACAAATATAAAACCTTCTGAAGCGTATCCCTGTGTTTTCAAATAATCCTACATTTTCAGTTCCTCACTCTGAGCAAATGGGATCTTTCTGCCTCTTGCTCTTCCTCTGAGTGTATGTCTTGATATCCTGTCTAGCACGCAGGAATCCATCAAGCAAATACAAAGGGAGGAAAATGAATATGCTGATTTATGGTAATGTTACGATAGAATTGGAGAAGATGTCAGTCACTTATTATGCAAACAGGAGAGGGATAATTCACAACCTATACCCCCAGCACACTGAGACACACTTAATGTGCGTCAGAGTTCATGCAAGAATTTGATCTTCATACTTATCTCCTTTTAAATTGAAGTTTAAAGGGAGAACCACACATGTTTTATATTCTATTCATCAGAAATCAGACCTGCTCACAGCTTGCATTTTAAATGATTCTGCACTTACAGTTGAACAACTGTATTTCATGACCATAAATAAAATTAATTCAAGTTGGCTTAATCAACTCAAAAAAAGCACTTGAGATTTTACAGCAGAGCATAACTGAGAGAACATATTGTCCTGTATATGAGTAAATCCTGAAATAACCAATCACTTGAAAGCCATTTATCAACATTTGATAAATAGAACAGCACTCACATGCAGTCCCTTTGTGAAACCACATTTAAATTCGATCCAGGATTTTTATTTGGAATTGTACAGAAATATCAGTTCTCTAAATATTGCAGATTGTTTTTCCAAGAGATCCATAAATTATTCTCTGATGAACATTTTGAAAGATGTCTCATCTCACAATGTTCTCCTGGATCCGTCCCCTGATCCGGATCAACACCAAAATGTAATGTCTTCTTCGTAAGGTCATGCCCCACCCCTCCACCAAATTTTATGGAAATTGGTTTTATAGTTTTTCTGTAGTCCTGTTAAAAAACGCAGAGTCATGCATTTGACCTCCTTGTTGGAGGTACATAGGCCACAGATAATATCAGAAACATCTTTACAGGAACATCAATAATCATCTTTCTCATGTCCCATACAGGCTTCATATCATAGTTTAAACCAGAATAAGTTCTAACTGTGACCTCATCCATCTTTCATGCTTAAGCCAAGAATGACATGTATCATATGTAATTGTAATTCCCTTGTGTGTGTGTGTGTGTGTGTGTGTGTGTGCACGCTCACCCTCAGCCAGTGCCTCCCTGACCTTGTCAGCGTCAGCGGACAGGTAGAGGTTGGTTTGCCAGGCCTTCAGGTAGCCGATAGGACTGCTTCCCCCCGTCATGCAAAACCTCTCAATGAACAAGTCTGAGGACAAGAGAAACAAACAGCAGCAAGAGCATCACCCACTGTTCTTTTCACAGTATATTCTCTGCGCCACAGATCCATTATGTTTATTCATGTTTATCAAGCTGATGTTAAAATCCTCATTTGTACTGGAGCCTGAGGCTTTCAGGCTGTTGGAGTTTGTGATACGCAGGTTCAGGAGTCTTAGGGGGTGAGGGGGGGCGGGGGGTGACGGGGGTACAGACAGGGTGACAGGATAAACTTACAAGCACTGAAAAAGTGGACCAGAGAGGGGAAGGGGAGGGGCGGGGCTGTACAAATGAGGGGCAGGAGGAATTAAGACTGGTGGGAAAGTGTCTGTTTGCATTTTGGCAGAGGGAGTTTCTTAATTCTGTCCGGAGCAGAGAGACGCTGGGTGACGAGAGAGGGGGACTGTTAGATCATCAGATCATGTGGATCATTTCAGTCTGTTCTCTTTAACGAGCCGTTATACGTGAGGGGAACAGAGAGAACAAGGGTCTGTTATAAAGAGACAGGAGTATATAGTTTAGTGTATATAAGTTACCATTGAATTTTTTAACATTTAATCGAAATGTAGATAAGAAACCTGTCTCAGATTTAATTAATCCTAAAAAGAACAGGTTGACATTGAATTTACACAAAGATGAGGGAAGTCATGATAAAGAAAGAAAAATCGATGCTGCAGAAGCTGACTGACTTTTACTCCTCAAAACAGATGAATCTTACATTTCCCATGATGCAACCAGTAGTCTCTTTTCATTTGACCTTCCCTCATACTTGTTGAGCACGTCGTCTGTTTAATTTAGATTTCTTCTTTTTTGTTGCTACCCACCATGCACTGCATCTTTGCCAGAAGAAATGTCGTACATGTTCATCTGCATATAGAGCAGGAAGGTGAGATCTGATCTTGAGACGCATATCGGGCCACATTTTTAATGTCAGGTGTGAATGTACGCACTCAGAGCTGACTTCTTGTAATTTGATCACAAAAACCACATGTTAATACATTCATATAATACATCTAATGGATGTGTACAGATTCAGAGGTAACAGAGAAGTAAAGTATGTTCCCTGACTGCCTCTGTATCACTTCCCATGATGTGTTGTCACTGTCACTAGTCCAGATTTATTAAATTTAATTTTAGTTTCATAGGGGGACTGCTGGCCCTTGATATTAACGTCTTAAAGACACCATCAGAAATTCAATCCTTAATGACAGAAAGCCTGAGGACTTGTGGACAACCAAAGACAAACTGTGTCCACGTAAGCGTGAGCAAGTGATATGTGCAGAGGCAAGATTTCTGTGGTGCTGCACTCGGGTGAAAAGTATACGATACAGGCTGAAACAAAAACAGATACTGTTTGATATGACTCAAAAACAGGCTGGAGGCAGACCAAAAGCAAAAGAAACAGAGGGACAATGTTGGTTTGTGTCCCCTGCGTGATCCCTCCATCATTCAAAGGACCAATTGATTTTGTGAACAGTTTATTTAGCTTTGTAGTGGAGCCCTCGTGGGGTTTTAACCCCTACATGGCTCTGCACTATACACCTCATCAGTTCAACCCCCCCCCCCCGTGTCCTCTGCCTCTAACTTGGGTGCTGGAGCGTGGGAGTCCCTCGACGGAAAATGTCCTCACCCTTGATGTCTTTGTGTCTTCTTTTTTCTACTCCCTCTCCAAAAATGTTATCATATCATTTATGTTTGCATGATTTATTTGCTTGCTCTGAAGATCTGAGGCAGGGAGCAGGAACTCAGCAGGACCGTGACGCCGCCGCTGTCTCGTCTACATACGTGAAGCTCCGTCGCTCAGTTTAATACTTTCCTCTGCTGGCAGCCAGGTGTCAGATGTTATGAATACTGATGCTTATATGAGGTCATGTCATGGCTCCACTTCTGATTTCCACCGAGAACGATAATGTCATCACATGAAGTCTCAATTTACTTCACATGGAGAAAATTACAGGACCCATCAGTCATCTAAGCCCTCAGGTCCTATGATCATATACATGCTAAAGAGATGTATTGAATTTCTGTCCGTCACCTATGTTTGTCATTCACGGCTATGTGCGAACTGCGGGGTTGTTACCAGTCGTCTAAATGCAAGGAGGGAAACTTTACACTCCAAACTGCTGCTGTTATAAATAGCCAGTGTGAGTAGATGATAAATTGTACTTTTGAATGTGAAAAGCCAAAGGAGCATGTCGATATTTCAGTCTCAATCACTTCTTATAGTCATGTCCCCAGCGAAGAACAGGGACTGAGTGATGCTTATCAAGCTCTAATCTCCTGACATGAGAGGGATCATGTTTTCTTTTAACTCTGCAGCAAAGAAGCAGAGGTCAGGAGACTGTTTGAATGCGTTGTGGCCCCTCATGCAGAGAGCCACCAGTGAGATCTAACGTGGAAGCATCTGGAAGGCCGTGCGTTGTTTTGTCGGCTCCGATCGGACCTGTTTTTGTTTCGGGCCCCCTGGATTATTCCTGCCTCCCGGAGGACGTATCCTCTGAGCTCAACCCGGCCCGCAGCTCTGAGGAACAGGAAGTGGTCTGTGAAGGAAGATGTCACCACAGCACAGGGTCTGAGATTTCCCTGGGAAGGATCCTATAGTCAGCTGTTGATACATTTGTTTGTTTTTTTCCTCAGCTGAGTTCACGTCTGCTTCAGGATCCTGACCGACCTGGATTATCTCATTACATCAATCTTTTAATGCTGAATATTTTTTCTCTCCTTAATGTTGCATCAGAAAAGAGTTCAGTAAATACACACAAAAATGGACACAGCAATGTTTAGTAAAAGCCAGACATAATCAATTTCATGGTTTGGGCTGGAACATCAGTGGGAAACCTTGTACTCACTGACAGTATAATTATATAACATTTCAGTTCCCATGACCAAAGTCAGACTCTGAATTATGATTTATCCAGATACAGAAGTATATTGTAGAACTGTTTGAGGGGGACTCAAAAATGATAAGGAATAACTCTGATGTAGACTTATTCTTAGAATGATAGTACACATTCTCTCATTCATGTTATGGAAAGGGGAGATAAAACAGATCGTCCAGAGCATTTGATCTGTTTAATAACTCCATATACAGTGTATGTCTGTCTGGCAGAACATGTGCTACACTTATAAATCGGTGATGATCATTAATTGATGGATGTCAAAATATGTCCTTTAAGTGTAGAATGAATTATTGTTGTAATTGTGAAGCGATTTTGTGCCTCGTTTGTCTGATGGAGCGATAAATGACTTGTCAGGCTACTATGTGTGTGGCTGCTTGACAGTTGAAATGTTTTGAACCAATCAATGGTCATTACTCCGTGGCAGAAAGCTATTTAAAGGCCCTTTTACTGTCTTCCACATTGTATCTCGTGACGAGGCGACTGAATGTCGCCAAAGCCATAAACTTCACAGTTCTTGTTATTGTGGCTGATGTTTTATTGCCATGTTGTCTAACTCTTAAAGAGATCGTTGGAACAAGGCACCTTCTATTTGCACGGGGACACTGAGGCTCGGACTTACTGTGATGGTTGATGGTGTTGATAAGTCGTATTCCTACGTGTGCGTGGTTGTATGTCACCAAAACAATGTCAAACAGCTCTTCACTTTGTGGGTACAGCTCCCGCAGACCAGTGTTGACTGTCTCCAGAGCCTGTCAGAGGACAAAAGTCCAAACCACCAGTTAGTACAGGCACCGTCATAGTCTGGACTGTTTGTGTTTATGTCTGTTAAGAGATTTGTGTGTTGGTTTGACTTTTACTTTGACAAATGGGAAAGCTGGCCCAGGGGCAAAGGGCTCGTTCTCGTGTTCGATCTGGAATCTCAGATACTCCTCCACTCCTTCCTGCTCAAACACCTTCTGCTCACGCTCAGTCCGAAAAAGGACGCGAGAGGAAACGGCAACGGTCACTGCGTTCTCAGGCTTTGGCTGCAGGGGAAAAAACCGACATGATAGAATATGATGAGGACAGATGATGAGTGAGCAGTAAAGACCCACTGAGATGATGACTGGAAAACATGTGGGGGAGGATGAGTGAAAGATGATGACACTTTATTTGACCTCTGGTGACCCTCAAAGGAAACCCTGCTATTAATACTTTCCTTTTTACAACTGCATGCAAGAGCTGCTGTGAAGTTAGTTTTTTCAAAGACCTTGTGGGAAACTGTTAAAACTTTATTTAGATGCAGTTAAAGGATTTATTAGAACTCATCACAATACATGCTGGGCTACATGCAGAAAAACCATTGTCATGCCAGTGATGTGTAGTAATGCCTTTCACTGTGTACATGTGCTCTATCATTAGTAGAATGGTGTAATCTATAAGCATGAGATAAGAAAACTATTCAGCCATGTGATCAGTTTCATTCACTACAACTGAGAACACTTTATAAATAGCTTCTTTTAAACTCTCTGAGGGACTGTATGAAAATTATTTGTGAGAAGAAAGGCTTGTTGATGACATGACCATGTCAAAACTCAAACCCCCTTTTTCAGAACTGCTTTTATTTACAGTATTAGTATTATTGAACCATCCCCAGTACTACAACTCCCACGTATATCTTAGAATGA